ATCCAAATTAGAGTCAAATAACTTGGGGTTTAGTAAGGTCCCACACCAAAATAAAACAAAACTATATATAGAAGGGCAAACCTTCACACATGGAAAAAGATCCCAATTTTATTTAAATGTCTCCAGGATTCGGACCTCACTCGAGTCTTCACACAGGCAGAAATTTTGAGTAATATTTTTCCTGCTAATTAGTTGTGGGAGCAATGTTAGGGGATGCAGTGTTCTCACATAAAAAGGTCTGGATGGGTGCCTGATAGCAATTCTCTGTGTGTTTTCCATCTAGAGCACTCTTTAAAAAATTAAAATGCATAGTAAATTCAGTATTTTTCATAAGTATCGGCAATTTTAATTAATTTGCACAAGCTGGTTCCACAACAGATCAGACTTGAGCAATTCTCTGAGAGAACTTGTACCTCAATTAGCAAATTAAGCAACTGTTGTTAGGACAAACCCAAGAAGGCAGCACAGGACTATTTCATTTCCTAGGTTACATGACAACTGATGTGAAAATGTTATTTCAGCTGGGTGATGGGGACACAGGGACAGAGGGCTGGCACCTGGCAGGTGACATGGTGGTGTCTGTGATGATTTGGGTACCTGTGCAGGTTTCAGTACCTGTGCAGGGTTGGGGGTACCTGTGATGGTTTGGGGGTACCTGTGATGGTTGGATACCTGTGCAGGTTTCAGTACCTGTGCAGGGTTGGGGGTACCTGTGATGGTTTGGGGGTATCTGTGATGGTTTGGGGGTACCTGTGATGGTTTGGGTACCTGTGCAGGGGTGGGGGTACCTGTGATGGTTTGGGTACCTGTGATGGTTTGGGGGTATTTGTGATGGTTTGGGGGTACCTGTACAGGTTTGGGGGTACCTGTGATGGTTTGGGTACCTGTGCAGGTTTGGGGTTACCTGTGCTGGTTTGGGCGTACCTGTGATGGTTTGGGGGTATCTGTGATGGTTTGGAGGTACCTGTGATGGTTTGGGGGTACCTGTGATGGTTTGGGTACCTGTGCAGGTTTGGGGGTAACTGTGATGGTTTGGGTACCTGTGCAGGTTTGGGGGTACCTGTGATGGTTTGCGGGTACCTGTGATGGTTTGTGTCTCGGAGGCGATGGTCCTGCTCGTGCTCTGGGCCTGTGTGCTTGGCACGGTCTCCTCGGACACGAACTGGACGGTGCTGGTGGCGCTGGCCGTGGCACTGGTGAGCTGGCAGCCGCTCTGCTTGTGCCCCACGAAGGCGTCCAGGTTGTTGAACTGCTGCTTGCAGATGCCGCAGATGTGGATGTCGGGGGTCAGCTCCACCAGCACCGTGGTGCTGCCGGGGACTGCAGGGACGCAGCACACTCAGGGGACGTGGCACACTCAGGGGATGTGGCACACTCAGGGGATGTGGCACACTCAGAGGATGTGGCACACTCAGGGGACGTGGCACACTCAGGGGACGAGGCACACTCAAGGGATGTGGCACACTCAGGGGACGTGGCACACTCAGGGGACGTGGCACACTCAGGGGACCTGGCACACTTAGGGGATGTGGCACACTCAGGGGACGTGGCACACTCAGGGGACGTGGCACATTCAGGGGACGTGGCACACTCAGGGGATGTGGCACACTCAGCTCGTCCCGGTGCACGGCAATGGGTGACACCGCTCTGGGTGGCACAGGGACACCCTGCTGCCCAGGCACCCCGAGCTGGGGGCACTGCGGCACCCCCGGGCGGCAGGGATGCATCCCTGCCCGGGACACATGGACAGCACCACTAAGCGCCCATGGAGCGTGGACAATCCACGTGGGCAATGCCTCAGGATCCAGTGCCCAGTGCCCATGGAGCATCCATCCCCAAGATCCACGGAGCACTGCCCAGGATCCACGGACCACCGGCCGGGACGCACGGACCATCACCCAGGACCAATGGACCACCGCTCCGGCCGCACTGACCCCCCGGCCGCACTGACCGCTCCGGCCGCACTGACCCCACGGCCGCACTGACCGCTCCGGCCCCGCTGACCCCCCCGGCCCCGCTGACCCCCCCGGTCCCGCTGACCCCCCGGTCCCGCTGCCCGCCCCGGTCCCGCCCGGCGCTCACTCAGGTTCCCGGGTTCCCCCCCCGCCCCCCAGCCAGGTTCCCGGGCTCCGCTCCCGCCCGCCTCATGCGCTACTCAGGTTTCGGGGCCCGGGCAGGCCCCGGCTCCCCCGTGCTGGCGCGGCGCGGGCCCCGGAGCGCGCATGGCGCAGCACTTACACTGCACGGGGCCGGGGAAGGCGGGCGCCGCCCCCGCCCCGCCGCGGTTCATGGCGGCCCCGCCGCCGCCTGCAGCGGGAGCCGGGCCCGCCGCACCGCCACCGCCACCGGCACCGCTCCCCCGGCTCGGCCGCCGGCGGATGTGCGGGAGCCGAGCATGCTCAGTGGCGGCCGTGAGGCTGCGGCGGTGCGGCCGTCAGCGGCCCCGGGCAGGCAGGGCCGTGAGGCGGCGGAGCGGCGGCGGCGGCGAACCCCGGGCTGGGGGCTCCGGCCTGAACCCCGGGATGTGCCCGGCTCCAGCCTGAACCCCGAGCTGTGCCCGGCTCCAGCCTGAGCTCCGAGCTGTGCCCGGTCCCAACCTGAGCTCCGAGCTGTGCCCGGTCCCAGCCTGAGCCCCGAGCTGTGCCCGGCTCCAGCCTGAGCTCCGAGCTGTGCCCGGTCCCAGCCTGAGCTCCGAGCTGTGCCCGGCTGTAGCCTTAGCTCCGAGCTGTGCCCGGTCCCGGCCTGAGCCCTGGGCTGGGGGCTCCAGCCTGAGCCCTGAGCTGTGCCAGTCCCAGCCTGAACCCCGAGCTGTGCCCGGTCCCAGCCTGAGCCCCGAGCTGTGCCCGGTGCCATCCTGAGCCCTGAGCTGTGCCCGGCTCCAGCCTGAACCCTGAGCTGTGCCCAGCTCCAGCTTTAGCTCCGAGCTGTGCCCGGCTCCAGCCTGTGCCCAGCTCCAGCCTGAACCCTGAGCTGTGCCCGGTCCCCAGCCTGGATCCTGCAGGGCTCTGCCCGGTGCCAGCCTGAGCCCTCGGTGTCTGGTGCATTATCAGCTTGAAATATTGAAGAAATTGCTGCAGAGAACAGCAGCGTTCAGACCCACAGCTGCTCACAGGAGCTCCTGACATACGGTCCTGCAAAATAGAATTACGGAAGGACTGGGATAAGAAGTTGTGCCAGGGGAGGCTCAGAGTGGACATCAGGAGGAATTTTTTGCTGGAAAGGGTGGTCAGGCCTTGGCAGGGGCTGCCCAGGGAGGTTTGGAGTGCCCATCCCTGGCGGTGTCCCAGGAAGGGCTGGAGGTGGCACTCAGAGCTCTGGGTGGGGACAAGGTGGGGATGGGGCACAGCCTGGAGGTCTTTTCCAAGCTCAGTGATGATGGGATTCCGGCTTTGACACAAACATTGCAAACACCATTATTATCTCATGAATAACTAAGTAAAGTCTCCCAGCCCAGGACTTTCTGGATGCTCTGGAAGAGTTCTCCCTTGCCTGGTGAGGATTGATGTCTGGGAGTGTAACACTGCACCGAGCGCTTGAGTCATGGAGCAGAGCTGTGCTGAGATCACACTTGACACGATTTGCAGCCTCTGAGGCATAAATCAGTGTGCATGTGTAATGTTCCTCACCCTTAACCCGGCTGACATGGAAATACTGCCCTGCTCCGGGCTCCCCACAAGTGCAGTGCAAGCAAACAAGGCCCACAACAGACAACTGTCCATCAGGAGAGACGAGGGGGAAGAAAACCAGAGGCACAGAAAAGCCAGAGCTCATCAGAGCCCCAGAGAGAGGCGTTCCTTGCACAGTTTGGACAGCTGTGGCCTCAGTGCTCTCCTGGAGACAAGAAATGGGTGGACTTTTGCCTTCGTGCAGAGCTTCCATCCATCTCCTGTCACCCCAGACCATGCAGGAGCAGCAGATCCCCGGCTGAGCTCAGAGAAAACCCAGCCCAAACCTGTGCAGGTGCTGGGAACAGAGGTACCTGTTCAGCCAGCCAGGAGGACAAACCCTGACCCTTGGAATAAAACACCATTATTGTCCCTTGCCTTGCACAGCAGATGGAGGAGGGTGTGTTTGAAAGAGAAAAATACATTAATCAGCAGTATAAATGAATAAATGAACAGGTTATACCACTAAGATGCAAAAAAAACCCCCTCAAAACCCATCCATATCCTGAGGAAAGAACAGAAACTTGGTTACATGCCTGAGGTCACAGAAAAGGGAGAGCTCTCTCTTGAAGGCCCCGGTGCAAGATCATCACAAGTGAGCTTGGAAACGTGGCCTAGGGGACAGACAACAAACTGAAATGTCATTTGGAATTAAAACTTTAAGGTACTGAAGGTGGAGACAAACAAATTACAGATTTGGAGTAAAAACTTCAAGATTCAACCCCCAAGTTTTAGCATTTTGATGGATAATGACACACAGCAACATAAATGCTCTGAGCTCAAATTAATTATGTTAAAATAATAGGTAATTTGTCTCTGTGTTGAGAACATATAATCATGATGATTTTTTTTCAAATGTTTTAAAATAATGTCATTTCAATTCATAATGCAGGGTAGGGATTTTGCTGCTCAATGTATTTGCTGTTTATACAATATTTTCAATGTCATTGCTTTCCTGTACAATAAATAAAGCCAAAACAATCAGTTAGTACCCTAAGATATTCCCTACTGCTGTAGGAACTGTAAAATAACTCAATATGAAAATGTTATTCACTGCAATGGCACATTGACAACTGTGATTAAGCCTCAAACGAACACTGGAACAAAATAGAAATGTATTTTTTGTTGAGTTGTTTAATTCTTCACTGTCAGGACGCAGACCCAAAGCCACCCAGGGGAAATGTCAGGCATTTATGGGGTTAAATGTGCCTCAGTGCCTTTCCCCCCACGGAAAATGTGCAGTTGGGATAGAAAAGTCAGGGATGGAATTTCAGGGAAGAATTCAGCTTCCTGCACCTCTTATCTCTTTGCATTTCTCTCTCAATTTTTTTTTCCCCTAAATGCAAATTGGCTGCTCTCATATGAACAAAGTTTGAAAACAAGCTCCCATCATGGTGATGATGATGATGGTGATGATGAATATGTCACACCTGAAAATGAACTCCTTAATTTATGGAATATATTTCAGCACTTTTTGTATAAATATAAAAGCACAGTAAAACTCCGCTGGGATGAACATGATAACAAATAAATGCTGAATCTAAGGCTGTACAGCTCCAGTCTCACATTTAGTCATTTTTATGATTATATTTGGGTTAAAAATGGAAAGCAACACCAGCAGAGGGACTCCCTTGATACTCGGTGCAGCTCTGCCTGCTCCCTGGCAGGGCATAGAGGTAATTTTATTCTGGAAGCTTTTCAATGCTTTACAAGTAATAGGAACCAAGTGGGAAAATCATATTCCATATTTTAGTTCTGACATCCTCATAGAAAAGAATATAGAAAAAAAAATTAAAGATTCAAAATAGCTGCCTGTGATTCAGTACCTAAAGGCTTGGTGGTGTTTTTCAGAATTCCCTTGGGGTGTGTAAATGTTTCGGAGCTGGGAGTACCCACGGGAGCTGGAGTCACTTTTGCCACTTGATCAAACTAACGAGCCTTTGAGTGATGCTGTTCCCAGGTTCAGCTCTTCTGGGGGGGAAAGGAGAAAACCAAACTGAAATTTAGACAGAATGCAATTCCTAAGAGCTGGGACAACCAGGATTTATTAATCCATGCACTCCCAAGCTTACAAAAAATAATCTTCTGCCTTCAGTTTTGCTCTACAAATCTTGCCCTCCTTCACAAGGTCTGTGCTTCCAGAAGGCTGCAGCACTCCAGGGCAAGCTGAGCCTGTCAATGAGGCACAGAAACACCTTTTTGGGGTCAGAGACACAGAAAACCTTTTTGGGGTCAGACATAGGCACAGAACGCCTTTTTGGGGTCAGAGACAGGCACAGAAACACCTTTTGGGGTCAGGCACAGGAGAACATTTTTGGGATTAGACACAGGCACAGAAACACCTTTTGGGGTCAGAGGCAGCGGGTGTTTCACTGGCCAGGGACAGGAGGACTTTTCATTTCCTGCCTGTGAGACCAGCCCTCTCCAGCTTCTACCTGACAGGATTTCCTCAGCTGAATGAGCTGTTTGTAGATAAAAAGAGAATTTTTTTGTACTCCGTAATTATCCATCAGTTATTAAATACCACGTCCCACAGCACTGGAGCTACGGGAAGGAAAGTCCTGTTCTGAGTTTAGTGGGATTATCCAGGTGTGCAGGAGTTGAATCTCTATTTTTGCTACTCAGATGACATTGATAATGTTAGAATGATGAAAAAAGTATAGGAGACATTTTCTTTGTGTGCAGATTTTAATTTACTCTGATGTGGCACAGAGAACAAGTGTGACTGCACAAACTCTTCATCAGAAATTCATTTGAACTTTGCTGTTGTACAGAGCATCCTGGGATATTCCAGCTAAAAAATCTGATTTACTGGTCCTTAGCTAGCAGGTATTTAGCTTAGTCAGTCCTGGTGTGAAATAATAACAATAACATAATATTAGTATTAATAACAATAATAATAATAATATTTGGGTTGGTATCACAACTCAGTGCTGCTATTCATGAACTCTGTGTCACCTACTGCAAAACAAAAAAAAAATCCTTCTGCAAAAAAGGCTTCTGCTTTGTGTTCGTGCCACAAGATATTGGTACTTGACTTTTTCAGGCACTGAAAAGAGCATGAAAAGGGTAACAAAGATGAGAGGGTTTGCTATTAGAATAATGTCTGCACGCAGAAATGACAGCCAGGGAAATACTATCTGAACTTCAACTGCTGCTCATTGTCATTTTACAATTAAATCTTTATCAGGCTAATATTCCCTGTGGTCAGATGTGTTTGCTTTCCAGGAATGCTGTAAAAATTCATTCATCTGTGAATTTCAGGGAACGTGGCAGGGTATTCACGGAGAGCAGATTTTAAATGTGCATTGAAAACTTCACCATCAAACTTAATCAGTCAAGAGGCAGAAACAGAAGAGCATCTTTCTGGAGAGGGAAGAATATAAAATAAATAAAAGATATTTTCTCTTAAAGCACTGCACAATAAAACACATCTCCACAAGCTATTTTTCTATAGTGGAAAAAATATTTTTTTTTTGGTGATAATATTGGAAATAGGTCAAAATGCAGCATCTGTTGGGTACAGAAAATGATTAACCCCGATGTGCTGAGTGACCCACCTGAGAGATCTTCCAGCAACGATACAACCGTGCTGAAAACGAACCTTTCCTAACTGCTAATTGTCCTGCTAATGGCAATTCTTCATGATTTACTGGAAAGCACAGAGAAAAGGGAAAACGGAGGAATATTTTGGGTACTTGTGTGGGAAGGGATGGGAAGCACTCAGGAGTTGGGATTTGCGGGAGGAGCGCTGCGGATCTCCGGTCCAGGAGAGGGTGCTCTTCGGTTGGATTTGGCGTTTTTCCCTTTTTTCCCTCCTTCTCCCGAACCCCCGATCCAGCTGAGGATACTTTGAAATCTCCTTCCCCGCGTTGTTTTATTTTATTTCATTAGGATGAAATCCCGTTTTCGATAGCACAGCCTAGCTCTGAGAACAGCAGAAATTGTTGCGTTGAGCAGAACAGCAAAGCGGTTTAAATTCCAGAGGTCCTTTGTGTCTCCTGCCTGGCTCTTACCTGGCTCCTGTGACAGAAAAGTGACTTCAGCCAACAGAGTTCTGTTCCCTGGGGTCTTCAGAAAAATCCTCGGGAAAATGAGAGGCTCATCCTGCAAGGAGATTTCTGGGAAACATCTCAGCCAAACAAAGAAACAAACCCTCCTTGCGCACCAGGCATAGCAATTTAAAATAACCCGAGTGTCATTACCTAATGAACACCTCCTGCACTGGGAAGGGAGGAGAGGGGAGCTGGCAGTGCCAGGCTGGAGCAAACCTCCTCCCGTGCTCCAGCTGCTATGCCAGGTCCTTGTCCCCTCTCCCAGAGGGACATTGCCACCTCCGCGCCCGGGCCAGCCCTGGGAACGCTCCCTGACCTCTGGATTTTGGGAGGTTCCTGGTTCTTGGTTCAGTTTGGGTGGCAAGGCTGGGGACACCCAGAGCTGGGGACACCCAGAGCTGGAAACACCCAGAGCTGGGGATGCCCAGAGCTGGGGATGCCCAGAACTGGGGACACCCAGAGCTGGAAACACCCAGAGTTGGGGACACCCAGAACTGGGGACACCCAGAGTTGGGGACGCCCAGAGCTGGGGTCACCCAGAGTGGGGAACACGCAGAGCTGGGGACACCCAGAGCTGGGAACACCCAGAGCTGAGGACATCCAGAACTGGGGACACCCAGAGCTGGGGACACCCAGAGCTGGGGACACCCAGAGCTCGGGTCACTCAGAGTTGGGAACACCCAGAGCTGGGGACACCCAGACCTGGGGACACCCAGAGCTGGGGACACCCAGAGCTGGGAACACCCAGAGATGGGGACACCCAGAGCTGGGGACACCCAGAGCTGGCTGGGCTGTGCAGGACCCTTCTGATTCCGAGGGAATTCTCACCCTGCTCACCTGGGATGGATAAACCAGGGTCAGTGACACACATCAGCACCCGAAATCCTGTGACAGACCCCCCAAAACGGCTCCTGGGGAGGGCAGGGCCTCGCCAGCTCTGGATTCCAGCAGCGGGGGAAGGAGATCTGCCCTCTCCTGAGGGTCCGGGACACCTCGGGGATCTAATGGGAGCCAGCACCAATTTGTGGAGGGGTTTCTATTGAAATTCCCAAAGAACCTGAGCCCTCCAGCTGTTCCACAGACTCATCCCGGCTGGAAAAGCCTCCCAGACCATCCTGTCTGATCCCCACCTGGCCGCCAGCCCAGCCCAGGGAGAAGTGAGCAGCCTTTTCTGGGATTTCTGCCACAAACCAGCTTTGTGTGGCTTCTCATTACCAGTGTCTCCTTTTCCACCCCGCAGCCCTGGCCTGGTCTGTGCTGTGGATGCTGCAGCTGCTCTGTGTGCAGCTAAAACAAAAGGTTTTAATTAAAAGTGACATTGCTGCACCTCGTGCTGCCAGTGAAAGAAAGTCCTGGTGAAAGGTACCTGAGAAGTGTGGAAGCCACTGGATGGTCCTGCCCTCCTGTGTGCATCCCAGCATCCACGAGCTTCCCAAGCTGGCAAGTGAAAACATCCTCTGATTTTTTTTTTTTTTTAATGGAAAATAATTTTTTTCTGACTAAAATCATCCTGCAAAGCATACAAACAAATATTTGTAATGCTAGTTTTAGCCAAAATCTGAAGGCAAAAAAGGTCGTTCAGAGGTCTTAATGCTCTCGGCAGACAATGACATTGTCCATCAATTCTCCGCTTTTCAGGAGAAAAGAAAACAGGTTCACAGATGTAACTTTTCCAATTAAAAATCAATTTTTGCCAGAAAGCCGCTCTGATTAGTTTTAATGAGAGGTAAGCAATTGTAAATGACATCCTGTGTCTCCAAATTACGCGTTTGGGCTCAGAGCTGCCCTGCAGCCTCCACTTAACACCACAAGGACCTGGATCAGGTCCTGTTTTGTACAGCAGTGACATTTGCAGGACTCGCAGGAGCGGATTTCTGCGGGGCACTGCCCATTAACCCCGCCTGGCAGGCCAGGGAATTCTCAATTACTGCGAGCCACGTGCCCTCTCCCCATCTGCATTTCCATTTACACTTGGCTTTTCTGCTCTAAAGAATGAAAATCCTTATAAAAGAATTAAAATACTTACCGGGAGCCGTGGTGCGGGCTGCGTTCGTGTCCTGTCGTGTGCCAGCATTTGGGGCTTTGCTGTGCAGAAGGGAATTTCGGGAGGGACCCAGTGGTCTTTCACCTGAGTACTGCCCCTTGTGGATTTAATTAGCCCATAATTTCCTAATGTGTGTTGGAGATGAAGTTTAAATGCTCCTAAATTGTGGGGAAGAAAGCCCGGCTTAAAATGACATTTTCTCCACAACTCATTTTGTGCACTCAGCCAACAAAAAAAGTTCTATTCCCAATTACATTGTTTCTAATTGTAAATATAATTATGAGTGTATAAACCAAGCTGTTGAGGCGTGCATTTAATTCTCAAACTTGAACTCATATTTTTACCAATGTCTTCCAGGGAAAAGTCAAGCAGCAAAGAGTTTCCCACTGGTAGGAAACTGCAAAACTTCTACTAAGAGCTGGTAATTCATCCTGTAAGATTGAAAACTCTTTTCCATGACAGAGATCACAGCCAGTGTCTCTGGGGGCTCTGTCCAGGGGGGTTCCTGATCCCTGCCAGGGTCCCAGGGCAGCCAGAGGGATGCTCTGGGCTCCCACACAGCAGCAAACCCAGCAGGGCTGAGCATCACCTGGTCCCTCCTCCTTCCTTGTTCTGCTCCAGGGGCACTTGGTGCTCCAGGGGCTGCCCTGGACAAGGTGCTGAGCACAGCCAGGGCACAGTGTGTGCTGAAAACCCACGAGGCAGCTGTGGGATGGCAAACCCAGGAGGAAGCAGGAATCAGCACAGCAGCGCAGCCTGACACGAGTTCTGATCTGCTGAGGAGCTGAATGGATTCAGGCTACGCTTGATAAGCTTATCTTGAAGTAAGACAGAAGCTGGGCTGCTGGAATTCCTACTGTTGCTCTGTCATTATACAGCTGAAAGTCAGGAACTGTCAAATGACATGAATAATATCTGTCCATATTTAATCCAGCGAGATGCTGACAATTGCCTCTCACCCTTCCCCTCTGTGCATGAGCTCCACCAAAGGGTTTGGAGTGATCACACTGAATTTAGGCAAATCTGCAGCTGCAGAACCACGCTGCAGATAAGAACCTCACTGTGTCTAAAATGGAGAAAAAGAGGAGATAGCAGCAAGCACAAGAAACTACGGAGATAATTCTTCCTGGACCACAGCAAGGAGAAATGTTGGAGATTGTGCTGACACTGGTGACGTTACAAATGCTACAGGGCCGAGGATAATGCAGAGTAGACTTTTCCCCCCTCCCCATTTCAAAACAATCACATTCTATCTTCTTATAAGATACGAGGAAGATTGTTATCTCGCATAATGAAAAGCAAATGACAGGCAGATAAACTTAGGAGCTGTTTCTAAAGCCTTGTACAGTATTCTCCATGGTACACAGATAAGGAAATCACATAATTGAAATGGCTACAAACAGCAGTAAAAAGGCATAGAAGAGGAAAATGAGGAGATCAAATGCAGAAGGCAGACAAATTTTAGATTACTGACGGAGGCATTTGGGCAAGGCACTCCCCTCCTCGTGGGAGCTGAGCACCTCCTGCTGCTGCAGGCAGGTCCAGCCTGAGCTCCCAGCCCCATTTCCCTCCTCTGGGGACCCCCTGGCCTCACCCACCCCAGGGACCCCGAGGTGTGACACTTGGCTCCTGCAACAACCCAGCTTTACCTTTCCTTCACCACTCTGTGCCCTCTGGTGTCTTCAAAGCTGTCTTGGTGCTCCTGAAGGCTCCAGCTGCTGCTTATTGTTCTCTGCAGAAACGGGAAAAATTCAGGTCCTTTCCTACCTGAGCAAAAGTGTTTTCTGAACTTTCTCAAGCACGGAAATACCACGGAAATGTTTTCAAGTGTAGGTAGGATAACAGCAGAGGAGTTTCTGCTCTGAGGCAGATTTAAGTAGAAATCTCATTGTTAATGTGAGATTCCCTGGATGTCCCAGACCCCCCAGCCCTCAGCCAGGGGCCCCTGTCGTGTGCTCCAGTGCAGCATCTCCCAGGAACTGGAATTCAGGTCACACTGCAAGTCCTTACACTGCAATAATCTTCCCTAATTAGAGGAGGAAAAAAGAACTCAGCTGGACAAATGAGCTAAAATCAGGAGAATCTTGAACAAGCATCTCAAGCATTAATCATTTATAGAGAAAGAAGAAGAAAATCATCAAAATAATTGAGCAATTGCAGACAAATGTCACAATGCCTTGTATTGCCAAAATCTCATCATTGGAAATGTATACGTCTGATTTCCAGGTTTATTAATGAAACAAAAAGGCATCTACAACAGATAAATAATACATCATATGGAATTCACACAGTCTATTTATAATAGAGATCAGTGACACCTATCAACTCACATTAAATCACATCATGCAGATTTTGCCTCGTCTGCACATTGTCAATCTCTGCTTCCTCTTTCTCTGCCGTGGTGACAAAAAAGTAACTTGAAAAGGGTTGTCTCAAAAATCCCTGCCAGAAGGTTTAAAAGAACAGCAAAACTCGGGCAGATTGGTGGCTGGGAAGGTGCTGGCTCACCCCCCAGCCTGCCCAGCTCCAGGGGCACTGCAGGGCTTTGGGAAATCAGGGTCACACCAAGAATTGAGGCCGTGGGATGAGTCAGTGCAGGTCTGGGAGCAGAACTGGGGCATCAACCTTCTGAGCTGCAGAGCTGAATTGTCCTCCAGCCCTGACCTGTGCCCTGATGAAAAAAAACATGGAATGAAGTGGGTTTTGGAAAAGAAGTTTGAGTTTTTACAAGCGTCACCATTAAAATGTAAAGTGGGCTTAGAAACATCCTTCAAAAACAGCATAAATAAGTTATTTTGCAGAAGAATTATTTACCATGAAAAGAGATAGAAGTTTATAAAGCAGTTCAGAGATCTGGAGGGGAAACGTTCTCATTGACATCATCAGAAATGGGGGCTGAGGAGGCTGAACCCCCTGGATTTTGCACGCAGCTTTTAAAATATAATTAGTGATCTAACATCAACAGACGTCACTGGCTGTGGTAATGTCTGTGGCGAATAAATAACGGTGGAACACAATAAAACTCCC